GTGGGCAGGCAGAAAAAGAGGGGAGAGAGAGACCGAGGAATAGAATCAAGAGAGGGTGACTGCTCGATTGAAATTATGACTTTGCTCTTTTTCTCAAAATGTCTTAGAATTCCTCCAACTCCAAAACAGAGGGAAAACGATCGTTCATTGAAAAGACATCCGCAATCTTCATTTAGATCTGGATCTAGGCCTCAAAACTAGATCTATGATTTATGTCTGTCTGTCTGTCTACTAACTGTCTAGAACTAGACCTAGGCCATAGATCTAGAAGAACCTATGTCTACTCTGAGCCAAGAGGACGCTGAAACTTTCCGTCTGTATACTTCGTGACTTTGTTCCCGGTATGGCATGGGAGACACACGAACCAGATCTACTCCTATACATCGAGATGTTCGATGCTATAACGATAGGCCTATTATACAGGGCATTAAAAACAAACAGCCACACTCCAAGCATCAAACAATGACTACAGTTCTTTTCTTTTTTTCTTTCCTTTTTTTGTACGTTCTTTTATTTTTGTTCTCTTTGTCATTGAACAAGCATACCGGAATTTATCATTTTAGTTCACAAAGGACAGTCGTGCCTCTTAACAACATAACCCTGCAGACCCAAGTTACAGTTCATTGGTCGTCCCACCACATTTCTCTTTATCTGTATGTAAAACAAATCAGATCTGTTTATTTTATTATACGGAATTGGGCAATCGATTTTCTTCTTCTGCCCAAAAGACTACCCATACAGTCTGTGTAAATGATTCCAACAATAGCAGAAATGACCGTCAGTTTTTACTTTTGGCCAACATTGCGCAATTGATAAAACCTGGCATGATCAGGTTATGCCAAAGACTTAAATTAGAATCTAGATTATATAGCATCATGGCCGCCCCTTCGTATTCTGTAATTAATTTGCTGAAGCGGGTGTGCATCAATTAGAGTGTTACCACCACCGCCAAACGTAGGAAAAATGTGCCCTGCGTAAGTTTTTTGCCCAGTAAGCTAACTTAAAATTAATTGAATTGATATCTTGTGAGAAACTTCATTTCTAGATATGCGTAAGAAATAAATTGGGAATAAAACAGGAATAACAACTCATTTCTTTTTAGCTCGACTTCAAGCAGCAGCATGTACCAAAGCAGCTAAACACAGCAGTCTTACTGCCTTCAAGTGGAGGTGACTCTTTCTTTCCGTACCCTACATTTACCTCAAAATTAATAACAGGATAATATTGCCCAAGTTGAATTTACCCCTCCTCTCTTGTTTCCGGAAATTCGTCAGAGTATAAAAATAATTTAATACATGAGTTGTGGTGTTAGATCATGATTTATACCATACTTGGAGCTGTTTTAGCATTGCACTTCCGGTA